ATTGATGCAATTTGTGTTGTTAAACTGTGCGACTTGGCGCGCGCTAACGCGCATCCTTTATGCTGGTTCAGCTAACGGGCATCAGTTTACGTCCTTTAAATTGTTTGCCCGTTTTAATGCCTCAATTTGTTGATGCGTTCTATACGCTCCTATTTCAGACACTCGCTGCGCAAAGCCCGCCCACTTGCCTGCTACACATGCCACTTTTTATTGGCGCATGGCCAGCACTTTGTAAATATTGCCGCTTTTCACATTTGCCGCGCGGCAAATGCTACTTTTTGAGACACATTCAAGCCCATAACGAGTGCTTTACAAAGTTTGCTTTGCGGCACCGCCTCGTCTCTAATTGAAATTGCAATTTAATTAACTTGCATTTTCAATGAGCTGAATACATTTAATTAAACAACTTTACCCTCACATTCTCTAAACTTCTCTCTATCTTCCTTCTCTTTCTATCCCTCTCTATCTCTCCCCTCTCCCTCTATCTGCCTTGCTACCTGGTTATATAATTGCTTTTAACTGCAACGCATGTAATTGCTGCGAAAATTGACTAAATCATTAATGTGGCGCACCACGTGACGTATACGCAATATGCTGCATTGTCACACATACGCCCCGCTGGCCAGCTCGGAGCCATTGTATAAAGACAATAATTCAAATGTGTTTAGCTAAATGCGTTCCACAATTCCCATAACGTGCATTTAGCGCTGCGCGCCAAAACATTCCGAAATGGGCCATAAAACATATTCTACAAAGGAGCTGCATAAATAGCATACAGAAGTAGCTAAGCAGCACTGGGGCAGTAGTCGGGGCTAAAGTTTAGCCACCAGCTTAGCGCGCACTTTACGCATCTTTGCCGCTTGCCACCCACAGATGGCCACAAATGTTGGCCATGTTTTCAGCTTGTAACGCAAACAGGCAGCTGGCCATTTTATCTAAACAAAACCACCAGGCCGCAACAGACAGCTGCCTGCCTTATGGCTGGGACGACAAATTGTCGAAACGTTTTGCACTCTTTCATATACGTCTCATTTGATTTGTTCGCAGAAATTCGTTTCGTTTTCTAATATACATTGCGTTGAACTGTGGTATCTTTATGGATGTTTGATTGTATATGTGTATATATTTCGCATACTAATTTTAGTTTGTCTGCTTTTCCCATTTCACTGCTTTTATCTGTTTTTTTTTTTTGGCTGGCGCAAAACATTTTCTGACATTTTCGTTAATATTTCTGAAAGTCCCTCTCCGTCTGTTTGGCTGCCATTGCTGTTTAGCTGCTGCTTCTGCGAATCTTCCACAAGTTGTTTACCCATTTCATTTACCTGCTCTTTCTCGCATTTCAACTACAATCTAAATGTTTACACGTTGAACATATTTTCTTATATTTCTATTTACTCATTGCTGAAAAAACGACTAAAATATACCTATGTATATATATATCTGTGTATATATATTTATTCCCGTTGCTCACGCGTGTAATTTATTATTTTTTAGCTGCTCTCTTTTTGGTTTTTATATTTATAGAAATTTATCGAGACAGCTTTTATTTGACGTTTCTTATATATATTTATATCACTTTTTACTTAAATGAACATCTTTTTTATTGAGCTCGAATTTTCAGTTTTAACTTCGAGTGCGGTTTGATTTGTTAATCGCGTTTACGATACATTGCCCTCAGCATTTGTGGGGAGGGGGAGGGAGAGATAAAGCCACATCCGGTGTATATACAACAAGCTCAATTTAATGGCAGCTTTTTTTTTATTATGACGTTTTTATTGCACGTTTTTTTTTTTGTATGTTTTGTCTATTTTTACGAGTCATTTATATTCGCTTTGAGCTTCAATTATGCTTTATAAGTGTTGGGCGAATTATGTTTTCCATTTGTTGACTTTAATTACGCTTTCAATCAGAGGCGTTAACAGGCTCAAGACCAAAAACAACTGCTTGAGAGGGTATACTCGGCCCGCATGCGACACTTGACACGCGACTTTGTTAACCGTTGCCAAGCAATTGGCACAAAGCCAACTCGTCGCAGCCGTGCCAAGTGCAACGGCGTGTGCGAGGAGGGGGCAAACGGAACGTAACGAAAGCGAAGCGGCACAGTAAACATTTTTGTGCAGCTTGGTTCAACCCCTACTTTGAATTTCGTACCCTTGTTGGACACTGTGTTCCATGAATGAAAGTCGCCTTTAGTTTGACAAACTTTTGATGTTGTTTTGAAGTAAATAACAACTCAAGCTTATGGCTTTTCAACAGTTCACAATTTGTTTGAAAATGTTTATTTATCTTAGACATAAAAGCAATGCATAAATTAAGTTGAAACAAGTTAAAAATTAATAGATATAAATGAATTGTAGTTAATTTATTCTATCAAGACACTATCTGTTTTAATATGCGCCTGAAAGTATGCCATGCCTAGCTTGCGTGCATTTTTGTCAAATGTTATATCAATTATTTAGCCTAGTTAAAAGTTTAAATGGTTTTAAGAGCTTAAAGTAGTTTGCGTGACTCAACCAGATTGGACCTGGGCAACTTTTGGCTTGCTGCTCAAACACTGTTGTCTGCAATTTGTCTGAATTGTGGCGATGGTGTTTTTGGGAACACGTGGCTTAACTTTGTATGTTGACTGCACTTATGCTAGTTATTATTATAGTCGAGGCTGCCTGCCTCTTTATGCCTCAACTGGCAGCACCCCTAGCTGGAAGCTCTTTTGTCAGCTCGGTTCAGTTGAGTCGTTTATTCTCAGCCCGCCATTGTTTGATTGTGTGTGTATCGTGTGTATTTTGTCTGCTGTCTGTTGTTTGTTTTCGCTTGCTTAGGTCTGAATTGGCTCATCTCCGTGCCGCAAGCGGAGCAAGTGGCCGCATTGTTCTGCACAATTCCTTCAACTTGTCGCACAGGCTCAGCAAAGGCAACGCCCATGTGCATATTTGTGCTTTAATCTGGCGGCTTCTGTGACAACTGGCGATTTTGGTCGTCCTTAAAATTGCCCCCAAACACAAATTAACTTTCTGCGCGCTACACAAGTTGCGGCTGCCGCCCTCAGCTCAGCGCGCCAGGTGTACTTTATGAAATGGAACATTTTCATTTTCATTTAAAGCCATAAGCTCAGCAGAGGGCAGCATTTCAGCATGCCGAGCGCCTGTGATTTCAATTTACTTGGCTGATCATAAAAACTTTTGCCATTTTGCCCCAAAATAACAACAACAACAGCCGGGTGTGGCATACTTTTTGGTTGTGCTGCATCCGTAGCAGCTCTTCTGCCTGTCGGAGCATGTTAAATTTATGCGCCTCAGAAACGTTGCGTTTGTTAACTTCTAATATTGGCTGACAGTTTTGGCCACACTTGCTAACTCAATTTGCCAAGTTTTGAATTTGATTTGATATTCCGGCCTTTCTATTTTTTTTTTTTGCTAGCTTAGCTGTCGCCTTTGCATTCAATCTATCATTTATTGCATGCGACTCGTTATTGTTGGAACGGGCTGTCAAATTGTTATTCCACTGCCAGCAGCGGCCCCTCAAGTGCCGCAAGGGCCAGAGCAAACACAAATCACAAATCATAAATCCCAGAGCATGAAAAGAGAGAAATATGCGAGAGTTTGATTTATGTTCAACTGCTGCAACTTTTATATGTGCGCCACGCATTCGACTCTTCCTTCATTTATTTACTATTTAAATTTCAATTACTCAGCTGCGTCGACCCCTTGCTTTTTGCCATATTGCGAGCTTGCTGAATTATTGAAGCGCTGGATTGAAGTCGAGCGTAAAATCCAATCAGTACACATATACCTAGACGACCCGTGGCACATATCGTTAGTCCGCTGCACACGCTCCTAATGCTATGCAATGCCAGTTTTTCTTGAACGTGTACATTGGTATATATATGGAAAATAAATAAATCGAGGGGTGCTCCAACAGCCAGAAACAGGTGTAAAAATCAAATGAGGCCGGTTTTTATACCTATGAAGCAGGGTTTCGGTTCGAATTTTAGTTCTTACATTCAATTACATTTATAATAAATAATTAATAGTTAACTTAACTTATTCACAGTATGTGTTTTCAACCAATTCGTTTTTCGAATTAGTGCGGACAAGTTTAGGTAAAAGTTGGAAGAAAGTTTTCATTTTCAGTAAATCTAATTTAAAGTTAGTTGTTCAAAAATAGTTTGAACATTCTTGTGAAATCATTATATTTGATTGTTATCTCTTTGCCAAAATTTCCCCTGACCCCGTATATAATATTTACTTCACCTTCAACTGCGCTCTGTGTCAAGCGTCACGTCATGAATCTATTGTGAGTTCTGTTGGATCGTCTTGCATTTATTTCGTGTGTACGTGGCAAAATGACAAGGTAAACAGTTTCAGTTACAGTTTCGATTTTATTTTGCGTTTTTCCCACTGGAGTTCGAATAAAATAAAAATACTTTCCAGTTGCTTTTTGAGCTGTGTGCGTGAGATTGCTCATACGCAGTGTGGACCGTAGGCATACACAGAGTGTGAGCCCGGAGCGAGTGAACGTGAGAGAGCGAGGGAGAAAGAGAAGCGGTTGATGAAAACTGGGCGTGAAATGTGCCCAAACTGATGCAAACAGTGTACAGTAGCACCTCCCCACCCCCAAGGTAGCAATTTACTTCCTCGACATACCTGCTGCTCCAGCTGAAATAAGGCATGATGTTGCGTTCAGTTTTGTGGTCTTTGTGCTCTCCCACATTTGGCTGCTCGTTATGGAAGGCACGTGATTTCGCTGGGGAGCATTTTAACTTAATTAGGAACGGTTGAGACATGCAAGGCAGGCACACATGAGATAGGCAGCTAGACAGCCAGGATGGTGATGTTATTCACACTCGGCGCTGTGGCCTTTTATAAATATATATACGTTAATGCTATTTGGCAGTCGTAAGATCTATGGTCAATTAAAGCCACAATCAATAAGTCGTAATGCATTCATTAATATTAATTTAATCATTCTTCTTTTTATCTTTCCATGCCCTTGGCGCACAGCACTTTTGGCCCGGCCATGAACAACAGCAGCACAGAACCTTTAGCTCGTCAACGCATTCGGATGATGATAAGGAGAAGTTGCGGAAAAATCTCGAGAAGCAGGAAAAACCATCACCGACAGCTGGTAAGAAATACTCTTAAATGTTTACCCAATGACAATTACTGTAAATATTTGGCTTTAATATGAAAATTGATACCGAGTCAAGTGCTCGGTTTGTTAGCATAGTTGGGGGTCAAATTATTTGAGCTGCGTTTTACAGTATGGATGCAGAGAGCCGAAGAAATCAGGCAAAAGAAATTAATTAAAGCAACCACCAAAAAGGATGATGGCGAAACAGATGATCACTCAAAGAACTCTACAGCCTACCAAATAGAAGCGATGACCTTGGCAAACAGAATGAACGCCTTTAGGGCTAAGCAAAGGGTTAAAGATGAGGAAATTAACATTAGCAAAGAGTTAAAAAAGAGCAAATTTCGAATTCAACAAATCAAAGACCGTCTAGTCCAATCAAAAAAAAAGTACGCTGTGCTTGAAGAGCAAGAAACCAAAGAAAATGTGGCCGAGAAAGTTGAAAAAGATGAGAAACAAGAAGTTAAAAAGGGTGTCAAAACTCTCAGTGCAAAAGAATTGAGTAAGTATCTGTAGGTGTAAAGATAAACAATCTGTTCTGACTCTTTGCGTGTTTGTAAAGCAGTAAAGCGTAAACAAGAGAGACATAAGAAAAGCTTAGGACTTGATCCATTAAATGTGAAAAGATATAGCAATGTTAAGAAAGTTATGAAGAATCCGAAAAGAGTGTTTGTAAAAGAAGATATGAAGTTGCCGCAGGTCAACAAACAGAAGCAACTCAAAATGCGCATCAAGAGAATAAAGAATTCACGCAGATCTGATAAGTCGCAAGTAATTGAACGCTAGAAAAAACGGTTAGACTCAATTGAGGAAGTATTATAATTTAATAAAAAAAAAAATGCTTGGCTAATAAGCTCTTGAAATAATTTCGCTAGCTGATTTGCTGACAAATAAAGATAAACAGGTTTTTTATCGTTTTTGATATATATGCTCTTCTGTGGTATTTCTTGACAATTGCAGTAGGCAATTCTATAAGTACAAACTGTAGATACTTTGACTTAGCCTACTTTTAGGCGCCTTTCAATTCGATACCTTTCCACCTACCAACAAGGCGTCTAATTAAATTTGGTAATTAATTGTTTATCACAAATAAAATGTGCCATAAGTTGTCATTTAGTTACAGATTAGCTAAACTCGTACATTATTTATGTTTGCAATTATGTTTGCGCCGACCCCTTCTAAGCGAGCCCAACAATTGCGACCGCAATGTCAGCTATAATTAGAAAAGTCACCCGCTTCGCTGCGGGCGGCATTTTTTGCAGCTTTTAGTTTATAAATAAATTATAAATAATTTAGCCGGCAGCTGCCCGCTGCTCATTATTAATAAATGGTCTATTTATTTGGTCATTGGCTGTAAATTTACAAATAAAAGTTGAGCCTTGTATTGATTAAAATATTGTTTATATAATATAGTTTTTGGATAATTCTGTTCTCTTGTTTTTGTTTTTGCTTTACCTGTAAAGCTATATAATGCTAGTTATATAGTTTATCTATATAGTTTATATTTCATTTATATTTAGCTTAGGCTTATCGTTTACCCAAACCCCAAAAAGTCGTTGCTTGGTTTCCATTGAGCATTGTCCTACATCCTATCGTCCAGGCTGTCATAGAGGTCGCCATCTGTCTGTCGCTTATCCATGGAGTGTTCTGTCTGATCTGTCTGCTCCGCCTGCTCCTGTTGCTGACGCTCTAGCTCTTTGGCTGGATCGTATACCTCGAATTCCTCAAACTCGATTTCATCGTATTTGCGACGCTCGTAGATGCTTTTATCATTGGCTACATAGTGTCGCACCACGGTCTTGTCCACAATGGACGCACTGCTGCTGGCATTGCTCAGACGACGCTCCTGGCTCACAGCCGTCGCCGTCGCCGACACCGTCTGATGAATCTCGACTGGGACAATGATTTGCTCACGAGCCATGATTTCCGGCTTTTTGACAATTTTTGGCAATGTTTGCTGCTCATCCAGCGCATTCAATTGCTTGGCCAGTTTCTGAGCTTGTGATTGCCGCTGATTGGCAATGGGCGTGCCTGGGTTGACAAGCGGCTTTTCTGCCTGGGGCGGCTGCTGTTTGGCCAGCGTATAGGCCAGATCCACATTTTTATTGCGACATACTTTGCTGTTATTGCTGGGCTTATCAGTGCCGCTGCCACGCCCCGCACTTAATTCGAGGCGTATGTTCATGGCCTGGCTCTGAAAAGTTGTTCCGTTTCCATTCTGCTTATCGTGCACATCTTGGCTTTCATTATGCTCCTGCGTCGACGTCGACGCCTCCCTTAGCACATTGATGTGATTATTTACTGTCACTTGTCGGCGAGTTGTCGCCTCCTGGAGCTGTGCCGTTTTGGCGGCGGTGCTTTGACTGTTGATGGTCAGATTGCCATCGCCCGGTGGCTGGTTGCACTCAAAATGATGAACCATTTTGCGCACCATCTCAGTGTCTGTCAGCATGGAGTCGCATTCGTCGGCGCCCGCCAGCTCCAGACGGCTGCTGCAGCTGTTGGACTTGACCAGCTTGAATTTAATGCCTGCCAAAAAGACAATGATGAAGTGCAGCGTATATAGTGACATGCAACTCGCACGCTTACCCTGATAGGAGTCTGGTTGCTGTTGCTCCGGCTCGTGTTTACAGCTCTCACTGGGTGGACACACATGGCACGTCTCGATTTGACGCACTCGAAAGCGTGTGCCACTGCCCGTATTTCCATCAATCAACTGCGGATTTATCTGGGATGCTGTTGTTGGGGGCGTCTGCCGTTCCAGTACCTTGCCTCCATAGTAGGTAACTGTTGAGCCGCATTCGCGTATTTTGGCTAGTACGTCCTGTCGTAGAGAAAGCGAAGGAGAGTGGGGTTGGTATTGAGTTAAGCATTGGGCTTGGCCAAGGCAGCTTAATGTGCTGCCATTAAAGCGTAATGGTCCATCAAGCTGCACGCAGCCAGACACTGGACATCTCTTACTTACATTGCTCACATAATATGACTCGCACATGTCCGTCTCGACATCGTCATCATCCTCATCATTATCATCATGATTATCGTCCTCTGGCTCCTGCGTGTGCGCCTCCAGCTGCGCCTGTCCCACATTCTGCTCATAAATTTGCCGGTAACGCGAGTCACCAGCTCCAGCACCGCCCACGCACCAGGTGCGCCGACTGGCCAGCTTGGCTCTGGCCTTGGCATTCGCCGCATTGCTATTGTGTCGCCGCACCACATCTAGAACGTGAACACCCTTGCAGGCAAGCACTGGCGATTCCTTTGACATGGTCTCTGTCTGATTATGACATTCGCCGCAGGGCGATGACAAATCACCGCTGGATATGCCGCTCGATAGGCTCGCATTGTCCCAGTGCTTAACTTTGTGCTCCTCCAGTAGCTCCATGCCCTTTGGCTGCTCCTCGGCTACGACAGTGCCTGCCGAGCTGCCGCCATAGCTTGTGTCGATGGTCAGATAGCGATAGCCACGTGCCCGGCGGCTCTTCGGACTTAGCTGGCAAGCAGAGCCGCCAAACTTTTGCTGGGACTGCACAAGTATGCCCTGGCCGGGAGTGGGCATTACGTTCTGTTCAAAGAAGCGACGCACATTTCGCACCGTGTCCGGATCGGGCAACTCATCCTCGTAAAGTTCCCTGTTCACCCTAACGGGCTGATAGAAAAAGTGTCTCTTGGCGCCCGCGCCGCCCACCTGGCGCTGTCTCGTTTTCTTGGGCGCAGTGGACTGCTGTGTGTTTGCCAGCCTGGCAGGCTTGGGTGGTGCTGTTTGCGCTGCACCCACTGTTAAGGGTCGCTCGATTTTGGTTCTAACCGGCTCCACAATGACCACATTATTGTTGCTCAGCAGTTCCTGAAAACTGTAATCCTGCAGGTATTGTATGAGTCCATCAAACTGCGCCTCCTTTTTGTTGCGCGCAGTCAGTATGTTGCTGCGGATGAGCTGCTGAGACTTGAGCACCTTGTAGCGTATATGATCAAATTGTGCCGCATCCTCATCATCCTCGCCCTGCGGCTCCTGCGGTGCGGCACTCACAATAGTTGCCTTCTGTGCGCCATCGCCCAGCTCCACAGTCTCAATGGAGGGCGGCATGATGCTGCAGTAGTCCGCACTGCTGCCGCTTGGAGGCTTCTCATTCTCTGGGGTTACCTTGTCGCCCAGCTGGAAATGCAGCCGTGAGCTGAGCTCCTTCTCGGCCTCTGGATTGGCTGGCTCATTGCCCGCCAACTTGTTCCAGTAGCATTTCACTGCGTCCACTTTTTGCAGATATTCGGTGGCTACCTCGCCGCCGCCATTGCTGACATTGCTGGCAATGCTGCGTGAGCTACTGCGTCGCCGCAGGCTGGCCGCTCCGTTCCCGCTGCTGCTGCTGTCCACAACATGCAAAATCTGCGGTCGTGACATTTTCTGTCGTCCAAATGAATCGCTGCTGGCCGTTGACAGCACCTTAATGGGACGGGCCTTGTAAATGGCTGCACCGGCGCTGAGCACTCGACGTTCCAGTGGTTTGCCACCTGCTGAGCTGCTCGAGCGTCGTAAAGAACGCTGGGAATTCGAGTGCACTGATGTTGTAGTTGCTGTCGTCGCTGTTTGGCTGCTGTTGACGGCTGTGGTTGATTTGGCGTGCTCCTCTTGAATCGCTTCCGTTTGGATGACGTTGTTTTGCGCGTCGGTGACAATGATGCGAAACGATTGCGACTGTTCCTGGGACTGCTCCACTGGCTGCTCTTTGGCGCGTTGCCTGATCTCCTGGGCGCGTCGCTCGATTAGCTTGCTGAAATTGGCCACCTCAATGACAGGCGCTTCCTTTGGCTGCTCCAAGTTTGCCAGGGACACTGATAGGTTATCGTTATCGTTTTCGCTCTCGTTATCTATATAGTGCTCGTTAAACTCGTCCTCTGTTATGGGCGGCGGTGGTGGTGGCAGTGGTTCCTCTTCCGCCTCTACACCCTGCTCAACCTCGACTTCCCTTTCAATTGGTGCGGGTAATTCCTGTTTAAAAGTTTCTTCTTTATCCACTTGACTCTGCTCTGGCTCTGCCGCTACCGCAATTTCTACCTCTACCGCTGCCTCTGCCGGGGCTGGGTCCTGCTTCGTTTCCTTTTCCGCTGCGTGAGTGGACTCTTCCTTTTCGCGTTGCCTTTCGCGCTCCTCGTATTCCTTTTGCCTGGCCTTCTGATGAGCACGTCCGAACCGTCTTATGGAGTCGTAGGTCTCAGCTCGTGTTACCTGCCCGCTGTCGCCTCCGGCTTTTTGTCGCTTGGATTCCTTGCGCTGCTGTTGCCTTTGCAGATTGTAGGATGTCCTCAGCTCCTTGTCAATGTTCTCGCACACTTTAAGGCTAACGCCAATATTTACATCCGGTAAACTGTGATATTGGTTCTCAGTAAGATTCGATTTGTGCGTCGTCCTCACCACAAAGGTGTCAGTTGCCTGGCGCTTAAGTTCCGGTGGCACTGGTTGCTTCAGTTCGTCCTGTTTTAGTTTCCGTTTTTCGACTACACTCAGAATCCTGGGCTTGCTGGCTGCACTGGAGGTGAGGCCCACATTAATGGTGCTGCCGGGTGCCTGTTCTACTTTAAGAACTTGTGTGAAGATCTGCGCCTCAACCTTAGCGTTGGTCAGCAGGGGTTTTCCCTTCTCTTGCTCCCGCTCTTCTTCCTTCTTGTGCTGCTTCGGTTGGGGCTCATATACCGTATCCTCTATGGAAATGTGCAGCAGGCTGCGTGTCTCTAACTCTCCGCTCTCCAGGCAGCTTGTGAACGTGCGCTGCTCAAAGGACTCGCAGCTCTCGCCAATCAGTGTGCACTCGGAACTATCCTCGGAAGACAAATATACCGAATCGTAGGCAATGAGCTTTTCCAGCTGTTCGTTGTGTCCACGCTTCAAAGTGCCATCGCTGTCGCTTGCTGTTGTCTCAGTGGGCGTGGTTAGGCTCTCTTCGGCTGCAGTCAGATCCTCCTCCTCGCCGTGCTCCTCCTCGCTGCTCTCAAAGCGTGTGCGTGTCGTTGTCGTTAGGCTGATAAGCTCGTAGCTCTCCTCTACGTCTACGGAATCGCACTGCTGGAAGATTTGCTCAATGTGCGACAGATCGTATTCCTGCTCGGAAAGCGAGGGACTGTCTGTTTGATCGTCCGAATTGCTAGTTGTAGTCTCTGGGAACACGCTGCTCTGGCTTTGTTCCGGACAGGACTCGGCGCCAAGATCAATGTGCCGCTGCTGCTGATGCTGTTGCTGTTGCTGCTGCTGCTGCTGCTGCTGCTGTTGATGGCAGTGATGATGTGCCCGGTGCTGCTGTTGCTGTCTTCGCGATTGATAGATGCGGGGCCTTTCGGTCAGCAGGGTGACCGCCTTTTCGAGTGCCTCAAACTCCAGAGAGGACGGCTGCTGCTGCTGCTCCGAGTGGCTCTGATGCAGCGAGTTTTTAAAATAGTCTGAATTTAAGCTCTCCAAGTCGCTCTTGTCGTTGTGCCACGGATGCAGTTGCTCGCTCAGGCCCAATGCCAAGGCGTCCAAGCGTTTAAGATTATCGTAGTAGACGTCAAAGTCGCGGGCGTCGCGCTGATGTCGCTGCCGCTGTGGGCAATGATGATGTGTGTGTTGCAGCTGCTGCTGTTGCTGCTGTTGTTGCTGCTGCTGTTGTTGCTGTTGCTGCTTCAGCAACTGTTGCTGCTGCTGCTGATGCGAATCGCAAGTGGTTGCGCTGCTTGTGTTGCTCTGTGCGTCCTCTGCCTCAGCCGCTGGCTGTTCACTCGCCGAGTTTTGCTGCTGTTTGTTGTGCAGTCTGTTTGTGAGGAGAAGGGGGCGTTAAAATGGGAATAGAGATTATAATGATGCTATTGTTTTGCATTTGTCGGTTGTTATCAAAAGTAAATTACAGCCAAGTTCAACAACAATTGTCTGTGGCCTTGTTTGGGCATTGAGACACAGTTGCCAGCCAAACAATTGCATTGACATTGGCCGCAGCTGTGCACGCAATCAATAGCACAGACCATGTGATTTATCATCAGTCAGTCAAATAAACAAGCTAATGGCGAATAGTGTAGTGTACTTTTGTTACGTTAATTTCAATGGAAAGCTACTGCTGCAGGATAACACTGAAAAGAGGGTTGCGTTCAGTCCAAATCGTTTGCCTCGTTAACTGAACAATGTTCGCAGCAACCCAAACTAAACAAATTACTTGAATGGTTCTAGATTTTTATCACAGCTGAACTAAGCCCGCCATCAAACCGATTGATGCATGTCATGCCCCCATCTAATCTTTTATTACGGCACATTTGGCATATTCTTTGTACTTTACGTGCTTAACGTGCTCGCTCTTAGCTATGCCCCGCCCCGGCGCAACACTTTGCACCCCTGTCAGCGCGCAGCTCAGTTTACAGCTCACGTTGCACTTAGCCGCTTGTTTACTCAGCCACTTGACGCGATGATTTGCGGCAAATTAAATGAAAGCCGGGGGCAACGCTGCGACTGCGACTGGGACTGGAACTGTCATGAGGACAGAAAGTCAGTAGCAGAAGCAGCAGCTGTCGGAACTGTCATTGTCAGGACGCGTATGAGCAATAATGGCAGCGCTTAGAGTCCTGACTAAAAGCATCTGACAGCGTCATAAATCAGAGAAGGATGCGCACAATAAAATGCCACGCTCCCTGCTGCATGTCCGGCTGCAGCTGCTCGAAGACCAACTTTGTGCTTGAGGCCAAGGGAACTGAAATTTGATTTGAGCACACTTTTTAGCACAATTAACACAATTGGTTATGCAATAGTTTTGCGGGTTTGTAAAATACAAAACCGCAGTCACTAAGCAGTGCACACAAATTGCAGCTTTTGGTGGCGGCACGCAAAGTCGAACCGCAGGCATACAACAATAACAAAAAGAAACTATTACAATTGCCTATCAGAAGTTGAACGCACAAGACAATTGTCTTGCCAAAAATGAAATTGCGCCAACCTGTTGAGCCGGCCGCGAACGTCGCGTAACAACTGAAAAGATGCTCAGCGAAATGTGTCTTAGCTGCGGCTTACGTGGCGTATGCGTGTTGTGCTACCAGCTATACACTAGACAGCACAATAATTGAGCATCATAATGCCGTATAATTATGAGGTGTTTCTATTATAGATTTTGGCATATCTAATTAAGCTGTCATGGGCTGCAATTCACACGTGCCAGTTAACTGAGAAGCATATACTTTTTTATAATTTGAGAAATATTTGTGTGAATATTAACTGAGTACAAAATATGCAAAATATTTTTCAAATATTTTGTTAAGGCTATTCCTCAAAACAAATCAACCAAATTGAATGACTTGGAGAGAGTAGCTTAGATTTATACAAGAGATTCAAGATTTTTCCTAAGATTTATTTCTACTTCTCTCGAAATATTTAGGGAAATTATATAATTTTTTGACGATCAAATATCGTATTTCTTTCCCCCGAACTTTGTTGTCTAGTGTGTTAGTTTTGTGACTCACTTACCGTGGCGATTCGCGGAAAAAACCGCGATTAACTAGCCGCGCACGCGGTATTAGCTGCGATCGCCGGCGACTGCTGTTTGCGGAGCCAATTTGCAGATCGCTAAACGTCTCCTCACGTATCACGGCCAAACTACGCGATCTTCGCAAGCTGCACGACTCACTGCCAAAGTCAAGGAATGTGGCCGTAACAGTCGCTTCGGCTGTGCCCGCCGCCGTTGTGCCAGCTGTCGTGGCAGCTACTGGCGCTGTGGCCGTGGGTGACGGTGCAGCTGGCTCAAAGTTATCATTAACTGAAAGCAATTCAATTTCGTGTCATGCTTCAGTGCATCAAACTGAAGGCTGGCCGTCGGCCAACTCACCCGCGTAGTTGTCGACCTGCTCAAGCGGCGCTTCCGCATCGAAATGCCAATAGAACTCGGCTATATCTAAGGCGTTCTCCTCACGCTCAAGCTGCGTGTAGTCCAAAGAGCGAGCGTTCCTTAGCTGGCCCTGTCTGGCGGACTGGTCGTTTGCCGTGGCAATGCCCACGCGGCACTGCGTCCAATGTGGCTGCGCGTGTGGCGTCAGCGGCGGCTGTGGATGATGCGGGTGTTGCGTCTGATGGTGCAGTTGCCTGTGCCTGTGATCTATGCCAGCGCCAGCTGCGCCATGGCAGCTGGTGGCCAAATCGAGATGCGAAACGGATTTGTGCGTGTGTCGCCAGCCGGCGGCGCGCAGCTGCGGACAGCGTGGATCGTGTGTGGTTTTCTGGTGGTGGTGCGCGTAATGCTGCTGATAATGATTGCCGCTGGTATCTTCCAGGCGCACGCGATCCACGTAATTATGCTGATAGCTGTAGCTGTCCTTGCCGCTGTGTGGTAAAGAGAAATCACAGATTTAGCAGAGAGAGTCTAGAGGGTCTCAATAGAAGAATTTCGTTTTTATTAACAGGATGGGCATTTCTCTTTAAATTCAATTGATTCTGCCTTCAATGTCTCTTCAATGTCCACAAGTTCAGGCTGCTAATTAACTGTTAACTTGGCTTGCTTCTATTATTTAAGGTTTATAAAACGTTTCACCCTCAAGAAGCACAGCTAAGCTTCCTATTTAGCAGGTAGTGCGCCCTGACCACTAAGTGAATTAGGCCTAAATCTCTAGGCCGATAAACGTAAATTGCATGCATTTATTTGTGTACTCCTACACACACACACTAGCACACACACACTCACATGTTAAGGAGTAAAACTATTTTACGAATCAGCAAAAACTAGGGCAGAGGCAGGCGCAGAGACAAACACAGCAGAAACACTTTGCTCATCGAAGCATTTAAGCCAAGCAATTGCCTTTTGCCTGCTTCTTCTTTTGGCTTTTGCCTAGATTTTCTTGTTCTTTGGTTTACCCTGCAGCTTTATTTCGACTTAAAAGGTTGCGGCACCTTGACGCTGTTCCCCTGCCATGCAGTTGCTGTTAAATGAAGCGTGGAATCTGCGCCAGCTTCGGGGCAACCGTTGCGACAATTGCCCTGTTTTTGTAATGCTTGAATGTGAAGGTGTGGGGGTGACATTGTAGGTGAAAACCAAAGGTATTGCCATTTGCAAATGTTGGAAATCTGCTGCGTCGCATTGCATGATTGATTGCATGGCTTGATTGGACGTTTGTTTAACCATGAACTGCGAAATTGAAAGCCTCAAGCTTCAGTATTAGCTAAAGTGGAGAAATTAAAGTCAGCGCTATACAACTTCCTCTTAAGATTGGCTCCTCGCTCTTATAGTAAAATTTTAATTACAATATCAAAGTGTTATATAACCTGAAAAACGAGCAATCGTTTTTCTTGAGTTTTCCCATGCCGTTGAGAAGCTTTTCTTACAGTCCTTCGATTTGACTTCTATGCCAAGCAGTTCTTCCACTCATTTGCATTAAAAGAGATATTTGCAATAAAAACAATCCAAATTGGCTTCAACTGCTCAAGTGCTCAGAACCATCTAATCTCCATTATTTACTTAACTTTCACCTGCATATATAAAATAAATACTTTGAGAAATAGCATCGTTTGCGTTTATGCAACATTTGAATAGTATGTTAATTGCCGGGGCCCACAAAAGTTTAGTTGCCCTGACCTTAATGCCTCAACTGGCAGCCGAGTCGAAAAAGCCCAGTTGGTTGATATATGCAGGAGAATGGGTATGAGGACATAAGAGGATGCTGCCAACTTTGGCGGCGCCCATTACAATTGCAAATGTTGCCATCTAATGCTTAACTATGCGAATGCCAACGTCAGGATTCTGGGGCGCCATTCTGGCGGCCCCTGCTGTTGCCTGTCTGGGTGCAAATGTTGCCGCTGCTGCGACTGCAACTGCATCAACTACTGTTGTCCTTGTTTTATGCTAGACTCTCACATTTTACGAGTACTCGTGAGAATGAAAGACGCCGACGCCTGGCTAAAGTTTATGAAGCGGCCCCACAAATAGGCCAGCGGCTGCTTGCAGCTCGACTCGACAATGGCCTATATAAAAAGCTACCATATGTTCTTTAATGTGCAGACGTACATATGTTGCCAAACAAACAATTAGCATAGAAAGTGAGCCCACAAGACTACTATAACTTAAAATTCTTTGTATTTTTATTAGAAGAAGCTCTGTATCGTGAATTTGCTTTGTTGGGTTTCCTTCTGAGTACTGGGTATTAGAATAGCTTAGCATATGCACCCAACCTGAATTGCCTTGACTTTACATATCATCTGGCGGTGCATGTGGAGCAGCAGTAAGGTGGCAGGTGGCAGGCGGCAGGGGGCACGAGTCGGAGCGTGGGCTAATGTACATATTGTCTTTGGTTTTGTAAGAACTTTGTGTCGCGCTTTTGTTTTGTAATTCAATTAAAAGTTAATTAGGTGACTGTCATTAGCGTTGCCAACCCACACAATGCCCCGCCCATTTGTCGACTCTTTTACTCTTGGCAAAGTCTTGACGGTTTTGCAAGCCAATTTTTCTTTTTGCCCTTTGCGTGTTTTTGCCAAGCGATTATAGGTTTATATTGTGATCTTGTGCAGCTTTTACTTTGAAGAAAATTCTGTTAATTTGCTTATTTCTTTTATATTTTTGTTGTTGTTTGCTTTTATTTGCTTTTACAGCTTGTCCGCGTAAAGTAGGCTACTATGGCTAAATATGGTATGCAGAGTAGAGAGATATATGCACAAGGCTGGCATATAATATAAAAAAGTATCAAGCTGCTATTATTTATCTTTAAAAGAGATAAAAGACAATTGGAGAAAGCTTTAGCTTTGACTCAGAGCGGTGCACAGGGTATCTCTTAACCGATCAGTCGCGTCTAGAACCTTTTTAATTTGTTTTATTGCAATTTCGCATCTTTAATATCTTCTTAATAGTGTTCTCTGCCCTGTTTGCCAGTTGCTTTCAGTTTAATTGCTTTCGAATACAACAACAGCGCGTATACGTATTTTTTAACATTTGCGTATACATGTGCACATGTCTCGTATTTTTTTTTTATAGATATATACTATGTAAAGAGCGCGTTAATTACTTTTTATGCCATTTTATGATTGCCGTTGTCAGCATTTTAAGTATTTAGCAGCAATTTAATCGCAAATTTGATTCGGTCTCAAGTCACGTGTTTGTTTTTAGTGGCATTTTATATGCGATTTAACTTATTTGAGACGTGTGCGGCATACTTTCATCATTTTTTGCACGTTTATAAAAAAGTTTCCGGATTTTTTTGTGCCAAAAGGTAGATGCCAATAAATATTTTAAAAGAATATATTTAAATTTGCCAACGACAGCGGCATGTAATTAAAACGTCATAATTTATGCTACGAAAGCAGTAAAAAATGTTGAAAAATTAAAAAACAAACATGAAAATCAATAACTTAATTAAATGAGAGAAATGTAAACTGTTTATGCCATTCAACAACTGCTTTAATAAAAACTGCACATGAAAGACACGCGAGTTATTGCTCATTACTGAAAAAGCGGCTAATTTAATTATATGCAAGAGTAAACTACACATGGAAATATAAAACAAACAAAAAAAAAAGAAGATATTCGCGAAAAAGTTTCGTGCCAAAATGAAAACGGGCAACTCGCATGACAGCTTCAAATTAATTAACACAGAAAACTATTGGGCGAATAAGAAAAAAAAAAAAAAAAACAGAAAACAATAAGCAACTGCTAACAATTTACATGAAAAGCAGCAACAATAAACGAAGCATAAACTCGAAAAATAGAAAAAAAAAAAACTAGAAAAAAGAACCGTAAAAAAGATATATTGCAATGGCGCTTTTCACACAGCATATTTTATAATTGCACAACTAGAATAAATATAAAAAAAATATATATATATATATTAGAGAAAAAGAAGAAGCAAAACCAAAAGCGCACACTTGAACAATCAGAGCATACACAGATTGAAGAGCCGATGAGCTGAAGAGCCCAGCCGCAGCGGAGCGCGGGCCAAGGGGCAGGGGTGGGCTAACAGGGCGGGCCTGTCAAAATGAATTGCCTAGAAGGCAGCTGCCAAAAAACCTGATGACAGCACCGCAGGCGAACGGCAACGACAACAACACGCGACATTTGCAATGACATTTTCGAAAATTTGGCAATTTCCACGATGATTCCATCGACCAGGCAACAACGACAACAACAGCAACAACAATGACAACAGCAACAACAACGACAACAGCGCAGCGAACGATGCTAATGGCGCTGTGAGTGCACAGTGGAAGAGCGGGAGAGAGAAAGAGAGCTAGTGCTCATGCTAACCATAGCGATGCCCTCTCCCTAATAAATGCTAAATCAATTGACTTGCCTTCGCCTAGCCACAAATTGCATTTGAGCCATGACACGAACCCAATTCCAAACAATGTCGAACCTCATCGTACATTATATGGAAATTGCAACGGCTGCCAACTATAAGGAATAATTAGTTTGCGACTGTCAAGTGGACAGTGGAATCTGCAGCCCATTTGACCACGATATATGAGCGGAAAAGCTCATAATAAATGTCAGCCTAAAGCAAATTGCCAAAAAGGTAGCGTAACATATGCCGATTATTTATGAGATTGGGAATGTTTAATTGTTTTTATGGCTTTTTTCTTACGCTGCAATTGTTGTCTTTTGTAATACCATGAAGGTTTTAAAAGTGCATCAAAAGCGTTTTTTAGTGTATTGTTTGCTGTACTAAAACTTGTATAACTTTTCAATGATCGTCTACCACTGTGCACTTACTGCATAGAGCCCAGACTGTTCCTACGTATTTTAACGTCGGGATTTCCCGAGTTTTTGCAATAGTTGTGTAAGCCTGGCAAACGTGAGCAGTTTAATTATTCAGTAGAAAAACAGGTAAAGTACCTAACTGCTGGGCTCATAACCAAAAGTTCCCTTTCCAAGCTAAACCGTTTTGCAAACTGTGCCAGCTTCTGCCCTAAAACTCTTTAAGCTGACATCAATCATTTTCGCAATATGCCAGGCGTAATTAATGGCCCCAAAGATGGGTCTAATGCTTGTCCACAATTACCTTTATCTCTGCGCCAATCCTTAAAGTTACCCTAATGCAAATGGTAATGTCCACATTAATTTAGTCATTGATGCTGCGGCAAAAGCGGCGACAACGTTGCGAATATTGTTAATGATGCTGCGGCTCTGTTTGCCATAAACGCAAATATTGATAAATTGTTTGTGCGCGTGTGTGTGTGTGAGTGTGTGTGTGTGAGTGTGTGTGTGTTTGCCGTCTTGTGTTGTGTATCTTGTGGTTGGCCCACATTGACGCCGGCGCCGTGGCCCAGTGCAAATAAATACAACGGAGCTTCTCTATTTGCACGGTTTTGGCCGAAGCCGCAGCTACGCTTGAAGATTACGGAGG